CACCCGGCGGGGCCCAGCCCGCCCCCGGGGAGCCAGTCGGCAGGTGGCCCCCGCTGGCCTGGCACAGCCCGGGAGAGGGGCAGGCAGTCAGCGGGGGGGTCAGCTCATTGCTGGCCCTGATGGGATGGCTTTGCTGCCTAAGGGAGTTGGGAGCAGGGATCCCATTGGTTGCCCTCGGGCAGCAGGCTCCTTACTCCTCTGAGCCCCTTGGACGAATCCAGCGTTTGTGCTGAGCACTTAAGTCAGCTGCCCCTGGGGTGGGACTGGGCCCAGCTGCTTAGGAGTGGGAGTGAAGCGCCGTGGGTCCCCCCGCAGGAGGGGGGCTGGACCAGAGGCGTTACCCCTGCGAGTGACCAGGAACCTATTCTGGCTCTTGGCCCAGGCGAGTCCTGCACCTCTAGGCGAGCGGCAGCACGCGCAGGGCCCCTCGCTACGGGCAGGGGGCGCGTGTCAGCGGCCCCGGAGGACACTCCAAGCACTGTGTCCCGGGCTGGCCAGGGCTCCCTCACCTCCACCTCCGGCAGCAGGCTCCGCTTCTCCTTGGCGCTCACCTTGATCCCCTTCCCTCGAACAACTTTTTGCTCCGGGGTGGAAACCACTAGAGGGAGGGAGATGCCCAGAGGGGGTTAAAGACACACGACTGACGGCTCTGCCAGGCCAACAGCTGCAGGCGAAGCTCTGGGGGCCCAGGCGCCTGGCTCAAGGAATACGAGGGGGTGGGGAGGGAATTTCTACTCACGTTTCTTGGCTTGTTTAGCATCTTCCTTCTTCGCTGGCGCTACGGCGGAGCTGCTCACCGCGCCCCCAGCACTGGCAATACCCACCTGAGCTTTTTCCTCTTTCTTCAAAAGGTCCTGGAAGGAAGATCCCGGGCCCGGAGGGGGCGCTGATGGGCAGGCTCTGCAGCTCCCTACAGCAAGCCCTCGCCCTTCGCGGTGGAGGCGTCCCTGACACCGCCGCAAATGGCGAAATCCGCGAATCCTGGGGGCGGGGGGAGCGGAGCAAGGGCTCCGTTTTCCTGCCGCTCCTGGCTGCCGCGGGGGGGGGGGGGGGGGGCGCCCCAT